AGTAAAGGAGATGAAGGGACAACCAAAGAATAAAGAGATGAAATAGAGAACTCACCTGATGACGATGCCATCCACCCAAGACCATCCTCCCTATCAGAAAGGCCAACCAAGTTCTGATTTAGTAAAGAAATCAATCTACTAAGTTCATCAGCCTCCCGCCCCAATAACCTTCTTCTAAACCTGAAATTTCACATAAGTAAGACTTCATTCTTCTGCACCACCAATCTTAGAGACACTTCCTTCTGTTGATAGACTAAACAACCTAGGAAATTCATTTTTAACACAACATTCCCCCATCCAGTGGTCAAACCAAAATTGAATTCTACTCCTATTACCCACCATTTCCCGATTATTATCCAAAAAAAACCTCAAAAGTTGAGGATTCAACTGACCAATGCTAAGGATTCCACCCCAGATTTTTGAGTAAGTACCAGTGAAAGTTGTAACTGGAAGCCAATTCCCATCCACAGACCCGTACCTAATACACAGAATTCTTTTCCACAAGGTGTTTGATTCAACCCCGAACCTCCACCACTATTCAGCCAACAAGCAATCATTAACCACCCTGATTCTTCTAATACCCAACCCCTCATTCTCTTTACTTTTGTTTGCCTCTACCCAGCTAACCAGGTGGACCTTTCTCTTCAACTCAGACCCTCCTCAAAGAAAATTTGCTTGAAGCCTTTTTATTGCCTAGGCCACAGATACATGAAGCTTAATTATAGATAGGTAATAGATGGGGAGACTAGATAACACAACTTTTATAAGCGTCAATCTCCCACCAAAAGATAAAAGTCTCTTCTTCCAAGAAGCTAATTGGGCTTTACACTTTTCAATGAACGGATTCCATGTTTTCTTCAACCTAGGACTAGCCCCTAAAGGCAGGCCAAGATATATCATTGGAAGCTTCTGACTTACACAATTAAGTCTGGATGCAAACTCCGCCACCTCTGTATCATAAACCCCAATACCACATATGGAGCTCTTGTGGAAATTAATTTTCAACCTCGAAACCAACTCAAGACACCTCAAAATTCTTTTAATTACCATGACCTCCTTCATATTAACATCACAAAAAATTATTTTATCGTCCACAAATTGAAGATGTGAGACCATCACTTCATCTTTACCCACCACTACTTCCCTTACCAGCCCCAAAGATTTGGCCCTTTCCATTAACACATTCAGACTTTCAGCTACCAAATTAAAAAGAATTGGAGACAACGGATTACCTTGCCTAAGGCCTTTTTTAGGAATGAACTCTGTCGAAGGAGAGCCATTAACTAACACAGACACTCTGGACGATGCTAAACATTCTTTGATCCAACCTCTCCACCTTGCCCCAAACCCAAACTTTTCCATCATAGATAACAAACACTTCCAACTTACAGAATCGTATGCCTTCTGAAAGTCCAGCTTGAGTATCAATCCCTTTCTCCTACTCCCCTTCCACCAATCAACAATCTCATTCGCATTGAGAACACCATCCATAATATTTCTACTCCCCAAAAAGGCTGATTGTACCTCTCAAACCACCCTGGGCATCACCTTCTTGATTCTATGTGATAAAACCTTAGCTACAATATTATACAAAGACCCAATAAGACTATTTAGTCTAAAATCTGATATACTAGTTGGACAGTCTATTTTTGGGACCAAAGTGATAAAAGAATTATTTACCCCAACCACCAACTTCCCATTTCATAAAATTCTTTGAAGAATTGCAGGACATCGGCGTTAAAAATTCCCCAGCACTTTTGAAAGCAAATTATGTTAAACCCATCAGGACCAAGAGACTTATTTCCATCACAACTCTTAATAGCGACCTACACCTCATCTTCAAAAAATTCTGCTTCCAGATTTCCAGCCACTTGGTCCTGACCAATAGATTTAAACTGGCCCTTTAGCTTTGGCCTACCCTTCCACTTTTCAGTGAATAGACCCTTAAACTGCTTGAACACCTCTTGCTTCACCACAGTGGGATTCTCATGAAGCACCCCTTCAATTGTAATTGAGTTCAGTAAATTTCTATTTTGCCTATAAGAAGCGATGATATGAAAATACTTGGTATTTTGATCCCCCTTCATGCTCTAGTCCAGTCTAGACTTTTGAAGCCATAACCACTCATCCCTAATGGCTACACCTCCTTCCTTACCTCCCTTCTTTTGACTACCTCTCTCTCTGTCAAGACTCTAGACACAGCCAATAGGTCCATCTCATGAAGGTCAACCTCAGTTTTTTTAAGTAAGTATGAAACATTACCAAACACCTCATTATTCCACTTCTTCAATTCCAACTTAAGATATCTGAGTTTCATTACCATGATAAACCCAACCCACCCAGAGACATTTGATCCGTCCTACGCCTACTTAACTACATCGAGAAACTTTGGATGTAATGGCCAAGCATTTAAGAACCTAAACGGCTTTGGCCCCCAATCCCTTTCATTTTCCATCAATAACAGAGGATAGTGGTTAGACATAACTCTTGGAAGTCCCCACAGCTTAAACTTAAACTTGCTCAGCCATTCTGATGCTAAGAGAATTCTATTTATTTTGCTCCATCTACCCCCATCTTCTGAATTCCTTCATGAGAATTGTCTCCCATGCATTGGAACATCATAAAGATCTAACCCCTCAATAAACTCATTAAATTCTACCATCCCTCTATCCCTTCTTGTACACCCTTTTCTTTCCCTTAAATTTCGAATCTCATTAAAATCTCCCCCTACGCACCAAGGATCTGTAAAGCCTGCTTTCAAGCTAGAAATTACATTCCACACTTGCTTCTTGCTTGCTGCATCATTGGGCGCATAAATATTAATCAATACACACCTAAAGTTTGGAAATACTGTACCTAACAGCAAGATAAACTTTCTTAATCCACAGCATTGAGACAATGCAAACATAGAAGGCTTCCAAACACACAACAAACCACCAGCTGAACCTTCAGCATCCACAAACATATATTCCATTTCATCCTCATGCCAAATCGATCTCACCAAATAATCTAACATACCTTCTTTCTTCGTCTCTTGAAAAAAAGCACAATCAATTTTTCTCTCTTTAAGTAATGCCCTGATTCGCCTTCTCTTCCCTGGCCTTCCAAATCCCCTTACATTCCAAGACAATAACTTCATATGCAACACATAAATGAATACCCATATCACCCAGATACACTTCTCTGACTAGACCAGCTTCATCCCTTTGAGCTACCCTCTTTACATCTTCCTTTTCCAACTCCACAATTCTTTGTAAAACTTCATTTTCTTTCCCTTCAAAACTGATGCAAAGAGATTTTCCTACTTTCACCATCTTCCTTACTTGCTCAAGAACTTGATCATCACACCGATCTGCCATACCAATCAAGCTTGATCTAGCTATAACAGCTACAGCGACTTTGAACACAGGACCTTTATGCCACACTCCTTTAGAAGATGAACCTCCAATTCTACCTCCATTCCCTTCCTTTCACAATAGCTTACCTCTTCTTTCTTTCAATCCAGGTGCAAGGGCTTTTTTCTTTCTCGTACGCCTACAATTTTGAGAAATTGCCACTCAATAATTCGCACCCCCCCACTAGTATAGACTTAACCTGTGAAGATGACGATGGCTTTTGACTGTGATCCTGGGCCACTCTTGCCATGTTTGTTTGGGCGGACTGGATTAGCATTCCCATGACTAATAGTCCTAAGACTACGAATCCGTTGGATTATGTATCCTATCTTAACTAATAGTCAAGTTTAAAATAATTAATCCGTACTTCAATTGTTTAACCAAACATCGGATTAATAATTTTATTGGACTATTATTCCAATCCCAAACTCATGTCCACCCAAACAAACATGCTCTTAGTGTTTTGGGCCTTCTCTAACATTACTTGAATATGAATCCCAGGCCTTTCATTCCCAGAACCACTAACACTTTTCATAAACCTAGGAGTAACAATTTCTTCATAATCCCCCACCCTCTCATTACTACCTCTTTGGTTAACCGTTGCATTAATACTGACTTTTTCAATTTTGCATGCTTCTGCCACTTTTAAGTTTCCCATACTTGAAATAATAGTTTCTTCCACTATAGACGGAGATGAACCGTCCACCGCACACTCTCATGTACTTGCTATATCATTCGCCACGTCATCCTTCTGAAAATTTGCCATGTCATTCCTCTGCTGATCTGCCATCTCATCATGTTCTGCCACTTCATATTACAACTCACCTTCCACCTCAGCCACCTCCTCTTGTACTCGATCACCATTGCTACCATATATGTTCTCCATACTGGTTGAGCTACAACCTTCATGAAGAGGACACTTACAAGCTTCTGTAATAATTTTTGACACCGTAACGTGTTCCTCACAAACTGTAACTAGATAGTTTCGGCCTGAGCACATCACCTGAACTACTATGTTGATATACCCCATAAAATTTGTAGCAATTTTGACTCCACCACACATGAAGGATAGTTGGTTCGTTGTCTCCTCATCCAACCGAATTACCTCGCCCCACAACCTCCCAATTTTACTGAAGGTATCTGAATCCATAGATTGAGTGGGACTCCACAATAGCTCAGCCATACTCCTCTTTCTTGCTCTATGTGCTCGACCTTCTTCCACTCCAAAACTGATTCACACCATTCATTCTAGCAGTCCTTTAATAATGGTGCATTTTCCTTCTTAGCATTAGCTGAGTTAAATGACACCACTGCCATTCTTTTGCCTCCCCTCCTAACCAGATTGTCTATTGTTCCCTTTGGCATGAATGCTTTCTGAAAGGCTGAGAATGTGTAGTAACTTTTCAACTTAACAATAAAGCTATCATAGAGTCATCCATTCCCTACCTCCTGAACTACAACCGTGTGACACACATTGTCCTTATTGGTTCCCAATTGAACTGCTTCAACATACGACCTGTATCCTATATTTTGTTGAACTTTTCCCCTCAAGTTCCACCTATAACCTTCATCCTTTCTTCCAATTCCTTTCCCAGTTTGCGCATCTTAACTAACTACCCTAACACCTGATGCTTCCTTTTGGAACTCTGCTCTCTTAACTTTTAAAGCTTTGTCATCACACCACAACCCATTCACTTTTTGGATTGTTATTTCAGCAGCTACAGGACAATCATATTTGACAAATCCAAACCTTGACCACGTAGTTTTCCTTAACTTATTTGGAATGAAAACATCTCTAACAATCCCAAACTTCATGAACAGAGTATGGAGCCCCTTCGGGCTCATGGATGAAGGAATATTGTCCACAAAGATTGTATAAACACCATATCTACCACCATCAGACCTCCGAGATTGTTTATGTTGGACAATCTTCATTGTATTTAAATAAATTAAATTCTATTGTGTACTAAACAACAACCAGAATATAAAGAAATAAAGGAAATGAGAGAATTTGTTTGATTACAAAAATCAAACTCGAAATAAAATAAATAAATAAAAAAATAGATTTTATTTTGTTACTAAAACAAAATTAAAATCTGATTATTGTCCACAAAGAATGTATAAACACCATATCTACCACCATCAGACCTCCGAGATTGCTTATGTTGGACAATCTTCATTGTATTTAAATAAATTAAATTCTGTTGTGTACTAAACAACAACCAGAATATAAAGAAATAAAGGAAATGAGAGAATTTGTTTGATTACAAAAATCAAACTCGAAATAAAATAAATAAATAAAAAAAATAGATTTTATTTTGTTACTAAAACAAAATTAAAATCTGATTTAAATAAATAATAATAAAACTGAAAATAAATTAAATAACTTACTTGATTTAATTTCTTCGAATTATAATCTGATCAAGTCCAGTGTTTGACACTGTGTCCTTAAGACAGATTCATCCTCTCCACGGTGCTTTTAGAATTTGGACGTCTATCTCCCAGGATGAAATGATATACTACAAACAATAGCAGCACTACAAATTGTTTGTCTTACGAACACACTAAGTGTTTACACTCTTTTTTATAAGAAAATAATGCAACAAAATGAAGAATAAATTTGCAGAGCTCTTAAGGACAAAAATAATGAATTTTCTGAATGTAATACATCAAATGAAGGTTGTCCTATTTATAGATGTAAAGGTGGCTGCAGGTTTTGAATTGAACAGGTATGAAACCTGTTGGTTTTGAATTCAAACAGATTTGAATCTGTTGGGTTCATAATTTAAACAGATAAACAACGGGAAGGGCCCTTTTTGGATGTACAGAAAAACCAGACCAGTTTATTTTCGGGAAGGGCCTTGTTGGATGTACGGTAAAACCAAACCAGTTTATTTCCGGTTTAATTTGAATTATGGATTTTATTTTACCAAAAAATAAAATTAAATTCAAATGTTTTTGGCCCAAAAAGATTAGTATTGGGTCAAACAAGCCCAACCCAACCTCACACCCGCGCCCAAGCCCAGGCCCAGCCCGCCCGACCGCCCGGACGGACGGCGGCGGTAGCGCGCGCGCTTGTGGTGATTTTTGGGTCCAATGGGTCTAGCCCATTTTGCCCATAACCTCTCCCTCTAAAACACTTGGGTACCCCTTGGGGCACACCCCAAGTACCAAACCCATGCCTTATAAACCCATTCAAAACTTCCCACCAAATCAATGTGGGACAAGCCTTATTCAATACCTTTAAGGATTTTTTTACCAAAACTTCATTTCCATGGAGCATACTTTGGCTTCAACTTCCCATTCACTCGGTAATGGTTTTGAGCAACCAAATATACCACGTGAATCACAACGCGGCATAGAACGCGTTACCACTTTGACCCGTGAAAATCGACGCATGGGGCCTACCTAAAAAATAGATCGAACTTAGGAAAAAATTCTGGTTTTATCTAGAATTTTATAACCATTTCCAACAATCCCCCACATGAATGGAATTTGATGACAACGGAAATGCAACAATATGCAGACTTTATCGAAAGAGTATAATTCGAAAATATCTTGCATCAGGATAGGTAACTTTCGGTCTTGAACCTTGCCTAGTGATAACCTATCGGACTTACTGGCTAACCAATTGTAGACGTCCCCCGAACGCCCCGGGAGGGTGAGCTCCCGTTCTGTTCATTTGTGGGGTTACTACAGCTCAGACTCGATTTGTGTCACGGTTCTTAATCTGAACCAAAGAGTCCAAATCCGGCAAATCGTTTTGAGAAACAGATTTTTGAAAAGAAGTGCCAAACATGGACTGCTTTGCCAGATACAGAGTCGCCACCTAAATATTTTATCCTTATACCCCTGCATACAACATATGTTACAGATATCACTCTCACCATAGGAATGGGTAGGAACTTAATCCTTTGGTGATTTCTGGCGAGCCATAAATAACTTAGTTGTCCCTTTGAGCTTAGTTCTTGGGATCTCCAGTCATATAAGTAGGGTTACCATTATGACGACTCTTTTGTAATACGCTTTAATCCCATCCCCTTTGATGAACTATACACTAGCTCTTTTGTCAAACCTTTTGTTAACGGATTCGCAATATTCTCTTTAGATTTTATATAATCTATTGAGATTATTTCGTTTGACAATAATTGCCTTACGGTATTATGTCGACGACGAATATGTCGTGACTTACCGTTATACATATGATTCTGTGCCCTGCCTATTGCAGATTGACTATCACAATGAATGCAAATAGCTGGCACAGGTTTTGGCCACATTGGAATGTCTTCTAAGAAGTGACGAAGCCATTCTACTTCTTCTCCTGCTTTGTCTAAAGCAATAGACTCGGATTCCATTGTGGATAGTGCGATGCAAGTGTGTTTCGTGGATTTCCAAGAAATAGCAGCCCCTCCTAGAGTAAAGTCATATCCACTAGTGGATTTTGAATCTTTAGTATCCGATATCCAATTGGCATCACAATAACCTTCAAGTACTGCTGGATATTGAGTAAAGTTCAAACAATGATCACGAGTGAATCTTAGATATCTAAGAACCCGAATGATCGCTTTCCAATGGTCTTTTTCGGGGTTACTAGTGTACCTACTCAATTTACTGGTAGCATAAGCTATATCAGGACGAGTACAATTCATTAGGTAAGAACCGGAATCGCTATAGACTGAGCCCAGGCCCTAGGCCTTATTATGAGTAGGCTTGGGCTTGGGGCCCTTTTTTGACCCATAACTCGACCCTGGTCTGGCCCGCTACAAAAGGAGCCCACGAGGCCCGCTTGGGCTAGCCCGAGCCTAGATCTGGATGGGTCGGGCTGAGCCATTATTACATCCCTACGAACCAAGGAGCCATGATTTATCTTCTTTCCTCTTTACACACAAATCCTTTTATTTTTCCCTTTTTTTGGGGGGGGTCAATAAGAATTACATAAAGTCAAAATGTTAATAATCTCAATACACATTTTCTATATCTAAAAATACTTTTATATATTTTTATTAATTCTTTACACATTTTAATACACTTTATATATATATATATATATATTTAACACTAACAACAGTTCTTAAGGTTTTTTTTTACTATTATCACTATATAATTAATTTAGAGTAATCTGTACAATACAGTCTTAGTAGTTTCATATGTTGATGACCAAAGATAATACAGGTATGATTATGAAGT